CCAAAGGCAGCAGTCAGTTTCCATGCTGTGTTTGTGAGGATTGGCAAAGATAGGGAAATCTGAGCTTAGGAGAGAAAAAAAATTCACCAGATCCAGAAGTACAAAGTACATCAATTCAATTCTTATTGAAAAAGCAAGCAAGCAAAAACAAATAGTTTCATTGAAAACTATTAAATAATTTAAAAACAAGATTCACTTTATAAGCTAGTTTCTAGAAGCATATCTTCTGGGTAAAGCTAACTCGCAACTATTTGCTAGTGAATTCCTGCCTTGGTAGATTATAAACAACCCAGAAGGCTTTGGCTATACCCCAGAAAAGAGCTTGGGTGAAAGTGAGATTTAATCTCTTGAGTATGCCTAAAAGTCATCCTAAGTAACTGGAGGATTAGCTTGCTGAGTTTCTTGTACCATTAGTGGTATTTATCATCTGTGCTGCTTTTTCTCTTCATTACTTCCAAACACTGCAAGTTCACTACAGATACAGATACCAAAAATAATGTTTGGAAAAGAAGAGTTATTAGCTTAAATCCTTAACATTTTATTTTGCTACATGGCAGACAGTCCCATAGTTTATTGCTAATAAAAGTAATAAAAGCACCATCCTTTTCTGATTCACACAGCTGGCACAAATTGTGTGTGTGAGTACTCAAGAGTTTTACTTTCCTTAGCTCAGGGCTTAATTAAAATCCTGTGCTACCTCACAGCAATTGGTTATGAATAAGTAGAACTTGGAAGTATGTGTGTGTGTGAATTACTACTCATGGACTCCTACTCTTGTAACAGTAGGCATGCAGTGTAAAAAATAAAAAACAGAAATGCAGCTTGGATATGTTTTGAAATGAAAAGAAAATGTTTCAAAAGACTTTTCTTTCAATCTCTGATAGAATAAGTTGTGCCATTTAATAGTTTCCCTTGGCGAGTCTTTCGATTTCTGCTTTGACTACATGAAATGTATCCTTGACATCCTCACTATGATACAGGAAAGTCTGAGATTTTGACCTGTCCCTTTGATTATAAATCATGACTCCCATTACCTCTATGATGTTACTGGTCAACAAACTTAAAATGTATTTGGAACATGATGTTTAGACCGCACTAATTTAGTTATCCAAGTGAACTTTACTACCAGAACCTTTATGAATACACTTGCTATAGAGCTCCTCCTTCAAAAACTTTTAAAATTTTAGGTATTTCTCTCTCTCTCTCTCTCTCTCTCTCTCTCTCTCTCTCTCTCTCTCTCACACACACACACACACACACACACACAAACATGCACACATACACTAATCTTCCAGTTACTTAAGGTGACTTTCAGGCATGCTCACAAATTAATTGCATTTTCATCCAAGCTCTTTTCTGGGATGTAGCCAAAGCCTTCAGGGTTGTTTACAATCTACCAAGGCAGCTATAGCAAGCAAGTTAAAGTCAGAAAATAAATTCTGTCATTCAGTTCTTTCTACCTACCACATGAACCGTGCAGACTAAACTTGGCTTGCTGGTAGGCACCTTTACCAACTAGCCATCTTGCCAGCTCCAAATAATGTTTTAAATAGGAAGCAAACAACAATATTTTTTTCTCTTAAAGCACCCCCTTTTAATGAATAAAATAATATTCAAACCTCAGAAAATGTGTCTTCAGTCTATGGGCAATACATTAGACTACATCCTGTAAAATTTGGCTTCCAAGTCCTACTGGCTGGACTCCAGTGCTTAAGTTAAGAGATATAAAGAAATTACTCACCTCATGGGACCATGGGACAGGAAAGTAGAGAGCAACAGATCCCATGAAAAGTTACCTCCCCCCAGCTTCTTTAACTCTCATTTGCCCAATTTCTAGAGTACCAGTAAAAGATAAAGCCAAGGCTGGCTGGCAGAGGAAGGAAAAGATGTTGCTGTTTGGTGAGATGTCCTCATTATTCTTCAGGCAGTCCCATTTTCTGTCTCATTTTCCCCACATTAATGGAAGCTGCTTTTATAAACCATTCCCCCAAAGAAGTTTTCAATTACAACTAAAACTTTAAAGGCTAAAACTGAAGGAAATTCAACTGAAATTCTGTATGTAGAAGGAATTTGGGGGGCTTTTTATGGGCTCTTAGAGTGTGCGTATTCTTGAGTCCAAGCCAGAAAACAGGATTCCCACAATTAATCTTTCCTTTAAGATAATAGGCCAACCTCTTAAGCATACATGTAGCTGTAACCTCCGTCTAAATCCAGGCAGGCACTCCAGGCTGCTAAAACATCCCTAAGAGGTGTCCCTAACTCTCCTGGCACTCATCTTCTCCTTGACTGACTGAAGTATAGGAAAAAATTATGGCATCACCAATTATATCAGAAATTCAAGAGCTCCTTTAAGATGTTATGCAATTACAATTTGTATTATTAGGGTCCAGGAATCTGATGGACAAGTGTGGCTTGAGAAACAAGTTTCTAGCCTATCAGGAGTAGTGACAGAAACAAATGAGCGATCAGATAGAATAGATTATATCTCACAGCCTTTTCTGACCTCTGTGAGGACCTTCACACACAGGCATAAGAGAGGGGGAGGAAAAGAAAGGAGAGGAGAGGGTATGGGATGGGAGAGGAGGAATTGTTTCCAAGGGTTCTGGAGAATAAAACTTAGATTCTCTTTGGAAGTGCCCCTTGAACCAAAAACATATGCAAAAAGACTCAGGACTCAATGAAAAAGATCAAACTATATATTTATATGGGCATTTAAAGGATAGAAACACAATTCAAGACAAGCTAACAATGTTTTTTCAACTTTTCCTTAAGTGTGATTATTTTTATCCTGGACCCCTACTTATCACCCTTTTGTTCTTTTAATTCAAGTGTTTCCCTCATTCAGCTCTTAAAATTATTACAATACACTAAGAAATGGAGTTTTAATGTATTGTCTAACAAGTATCAGGGTTAACTAACACCATTACAAAGTATAACACTAATTTTATTTTTAATTTATATTTAATTTCAAATTCAGTTTACACATAATTTTAGCTAAAATCCTACTATACGGTTAGCTAATTCTACTATATGATCTTTGTTCTCCTGCCATATTTTGAAGTTTTGATTTTGTTTTTGTTTTGTTTTGTTTTGTTTTGTTTTTTACAAGTAATTACTCTAAAAACTATTGCACTTTTCAAGAACCTCTTGAAGTGAGTTTACCTTCCAAAGCTTACTTGTTTTTCAGGGTCCCAGATAAAATGGTCAGTATTATTTCCCCAGGGCACTGACGTATCAGAGGTATTAGTCTTCTTATTACTCATTGACAAATACTGGTTTACTTTTAATCAAAAGTTGGTCAGTCTATCCAGAGAAAAGTAGAAGCAGATTTAATAACTAGCCTTCCCTCTGGAGAGTAGACATTGTTAACTGTCTAAAACATAATTAACAGCAGAATGTCAGTCAACAAATACACTTTTTAACTTCATATCAGGGGAATTTAGGTACACCAATTTAATACAGGTCAAGGTACGAGTCATCAAATTGACAGTCTTGGCCTGACCTCTAAAAGTAGCTGTAAAATGATGTCTAATAAATTAAGATGAATGGCAAATCCCTCTAAGGAAACAGGCTTGTATCATTGCTTTGTAATGATATCAGGTTTGAGGTCAAGAATTTACAATAAGGATATAAATACCAGCCTGCATGCAAGGTGAGACATATGCTCAGTTATTTTGCATGTAGGATAATGGTGACTCACTCTACTCATATTATACATGGTTTCATATTTTAAATTACTTTTTTTCTTCAAAACAAGACTATCAAGCCAGAGTAAAGTATTATCCTCAATAATGGGATTAAATTTGCCAAGGTATAGTAGCAGAGTATTAGATATTCTAATCCTGGTGCCAAGACAGGGGTTCTCAGAAGCCATGATGAGTCATTTTCATGGGGTTTTCAATGATTCAGTGGCTTTGAAGTTCAGGGATGTTCAACAAGAAAGTGTCTTATTCCAACCAGGAGAGGTTCAAAAGACATGCTCAAATTTCCAAGAAGTGGAATGCAATGACAATATGGGCAGTGTTGTAATTGTTTCTATGCCACCCATGTTGTTGGAATCCTAAACAGGGAGTCAAGAGCACTAAGCAGTTAAGAGAAGTTGTTACCAACTTGGTCCTTTCCCGTGGAAGCCACTGCTAAATAGTATTAAGAAGTTGGCAGAGTCACTGTATACTTGGTACATTATCTGTCAATGGCTAGGACTAGTGAAATAAATTTCTAAAGAGAAATGCACATCATAAACCCTGAATTTGGTTGTCATTTTCAGCAGTAGCAGTGAGGATTCACATAAATCTTGTTTGTTTTTTTAATGTATATATTTCTTCTTGTCTTTTTCTCCACCCAAACTTGTTCCTACTTATTTTGCTTTCCTCCATTTCTCAGATTTATTGCTTCAGACCTTTACATTTAGTGAAGAAAAAAGAGGCTGTGATTTAGTTTCCTGTCAATACTCAAACTAAATACAGTGCCTCTTCATCACTAACGCCCTCTACTTGACCAATTTTAAAAGAAGGCATCAACATTGATTAATAATACTCTGCCCACTGCTTTCTTCTGTGATGACCCTTCTATCAGACCTATGGGAATATAAAAACAAAATTATCAATATCTGCAATATTCTCTGGAGTGTTCCACCAGCCAAAATGTACCAAAATGTCCTATAAGCTATTGACATTTATAACGTCTAAAAGGCATAATAAGCCAAGGTCTACTCAGATCTCTGCTGAAAAAGTTCACCCATCTTTCTCAGGCTAGTGGGGACTATGATGACTTCTGCTCCTCTATCTATGTTAGAAGAAACTATCGATGAACACTTATGAGTCTCCAAAAGACAGATGTACTTCCCCACAGGAAATATCCCGGGCATTTCCAAACCTATACCACTAAAGTTGTTTATAATTACTATGATCCATTAGGCCCCCATGATCAAACTGATCTCCCTCTTTACAAAGATTTGCTTTTTTTTAAACTTTTGCTCTGATCTTTTTCTGCCTCCTCAGGTCATGGATTATACGGGACTTTTGAAATGTTATCCTCGTGGAGGAAAACTAGAGAGGACCAACATGTTAAAGAGCGAACTGCAGAAGTCTATGCAGACTCCATGCTCTCCTTCTCTCTCACCACTGCCATGTACTTGGTCACCTTTGGCATAGGGGCCAGCCCTTTCACGAACATTGAGGCAGCCAGGATTTTCTGCTGCAATTCCTGTATTGCAATCCTCTTCAACTACCTCTATGTACTCTCATTTTATGGTTCCAGCCTTGTGTTCACTGGCTACATAGAAAACAATTACCAGCATAGTATATTCTGTAGAAAAGTTCCAAAGCCTGAGGTATTGCAGGAGAAGCCAGCATGGTATAGGTTTCTTCTGACAGCTAGATTCAGTGAGGACACAGCTGAAGGTGAGGAAGCAAACACTTATGAGAGTCACCTATTGGTATGTTTCCTCAAACGCTATTACTGTGACTGGATAACCAACACCTATGTCAAGCCTTTTGTAGTCCTCTTTTACCTTATTTATATTTCCTTTGCCTTAATGGGCTATCTGCAGGTCAGTGAAGGGTCAGACCTTCGTAACATCGTAGCAACTGCAACACAAACCATTGAGTATACTACTGCCCAGCAAAAGTACTTCAACAACTACAGTCCTGTTATTGGGTTTTACATATACGAGTCCATAGAATATTGGAACTCTAGTGTCCAAGAAGACATTCTAGAATACACTAAAGGTTTTGTGCGGATATCCTGGTTTGAAAGCTATTTAAATTATCTTCGGAAACTCAATGTGTCCACTGACTTGCCTAAGAAAAATTTCACAGACATGTTGAGGAATTCCTTCCTGAAAACTCCTCAATTTTCACATTTTCAAGAGGACATCATCTTCTCTAAAAAGTACAATGATGAAGTTGATGTAGTGGCCTCTAGAATGTTTTTGGTGGCCAAGACCATGGAAACGAACAGAGAAGAACTCTATGATCTCTTGGAGACTCTGAGGAGGCTTTCTGTGACCTCCAAGGTAAAGTTTATTGTCTTTAATCCATCTTTTGTGTACATGGATCGATATGCCTCCTCTCTGGGAGCCCCCCTGCACAACTCCTGCATCAGTGCTTTGTTCCTGCTCTTCTTCTCGGCATTCCTGGTGGCAGATTCACTGATTAATGTCTGGATCACTCTAACAGTTGTGTCTGTGGAATTTGGAGTGATAGGCTTCATGACATTATGGAAAGTAAAACTGGACTGCATTTCTGTGCTATGCTTAATTTATGGAATTAATTACACAATTGACAACTGTGCTCCACTGTTATCCACATTTGTTCTGGGCAAAGATTTCACAAGAACTAAATGGGTCAAAAATGCCCTGGAAGTGCATGGAGTAGCTATTTTACAGAGTTACCTCTGTTATATTGTTGGTCTATTTCCTCTCGCAGCTGTGCCTTCAAATCTGACCTGTACACTGTTCAGGTGCTTGTTTTTAATAGCATTTGTCACCTTCTTTCACTGCTTTGCCATTTTACCTGTGATACTGACTTTCCTGCCACCCTCTAAGAAAAAAAGGAAAGAGAAGAAAAATCCTGAAAACCGGGAGGAAATTGAATGTGTGGAAATGGTGGATATTGATAGCACTCGAGTGGTTGACCAAATTACCACAGTGTGATAGTATCTGCTTCATATTTTCACCCTAGGTCTTACCAAGAACAAAAAGCTTGTGTTTATGAAACAGTTAAAGTCAAAGATGCTCTCATTTGAAAAGAATAACAAGCAGGCACTAAAAAAAAAAAGTAAAAGACGAGGATAACAGGCATCTTTAAAAGTTATTAAAGCAAATGGGTTGCTATGAAAAAATACATACACACACACCACTTGTAGTATTTTAAATAATATCAAACAAAGGAAAGATTATTATTAATAAGCAGGATCCCATTTTACATACACTGCACATGTTACTGGTATTGTAATAAAATGCAACTGATTGCAAAGTCAGCTATTATAACAAAAATAGCTTTAAGCATTGTTCAAACAACAAGGCTTTCTAAACATTTTCAGAGCAGTAACTCTACTTAGGTTCTGTCATTTGAGGTCTTCATTGTCTCATCTAGTACCTAAACACTCAAGGAGATTCTGTGAAAGTTTTGATCAGCAAGAGGAAGCCAGAACCTCTGAAGCAGATGTGGTAGATTGAACATCATCCACAAATTGAAATTGAGCCACCTCCAAATTCACTTAGGTGAGCCAAGTTATTTTTTTTTTCCTGTTGAATGAACTTGTCATATTCCTCCACTGTTATGCCGTTAACACCTGTATATTTTAGTTAATGCACCCAGAAATCAATGACAGCTCCAGCAGTAGAAAATTGGGGCAATTCTATTTTAGAGTATCTTGTTACTTGTCATCAAATTGGCCTACTTTATTAGTTACAGCTTTTGGCAGGAACCTCTGCAAATCAACAGAGGCGAGCCCAAATATCTGGCATGATGGAGGAAAAGTAGGTGTCTAATTGAACCTATGAAGAGCCACCTGGTACAACTGTTTTTTGGTTTGGCCCTATGTGCACTTTTGCATTGATGTCCAGAAACAGCATCTGCCCGTATATATGATGAAATGAAAATGAACACTAAAATGTTTATTTGCTATTAGATGAGTTCTACTTGAGTTAGTGAAGCAAATGAAGATCTTTGGTAAGTCTGAGACCTGGTGATGAGAAACTTTATAAAAGCGCTGGGAGATAAAGGGCTCAAAGGAAAATAGGTGGAATTTCCTGGATAACAGTAATAACCAGTACAAACCTATCCATAATAGCAGCCAAACTTCCCCGCTAAACTAGCTGTACCTCACCTCCCTTAAAATGTCTTTTTTTTTTCTATCTTTTTTTCATCACAAGGCACTCTGTACATTAACATGCCCAGGTATGTATACCGTTGCGCAGTTGCATCTAAAAGGGCAATGATTCATAGATCTAAAGAAAGACAGTTTGATCTGAAGGGGATATGTATGTTACCCTCAGACCCCTGTATTTCTTTAAATCCATAAAAATGAAGCCAAACCCTGGATTACATTTAAGGCAAATAGCTGCAATGTCTTTCCTTTTTAGAGATATAGCTTTTTTAGCCATCTACAGTAGTAAGCATTTCCAAAAGACATATTACCTTTCAAGACCTTAGCAGACATATTACAACACTCCCTCTTCCTCAACAGAGGGGAAACAGGCCTTGAAGAATGAAATTACCCAGGTTGCACTACTAGAGAAGTTCCATCATTTCAGCATGGCAAAGACAGAGCAGGCAACTGCAAATTTTCCCATAAGGCAGCTACTACCCCTTCCAAACACATACATAAGGTGAGAACATAAGGCTTCATTGGCCATGAAACAAACATTTTATTTTTATGTCTGGAATGTAAACACTTTGGATTTAGGTTGGCTACTATCCTTCTAAACAGCAAAAATGCCCAAATGATTGTGATGTAACCACACCAAGTAATAATCTGTGCTTTCGTTCTCATGTGCTTTTATCCACAATGTTCTAACAATTACGGTGGAGATTATAGCTAGTGCATCACACACTTGCTCAGTCTCCCTTGCAAACACACTAAGCAGTCATACCAATGTGTTATTCACTGAACAAGAAGGTGAGGAGCTTTAAAATCTACAACAAGTACATTCTTCACAAAAAGGCAAGTGTGCATACTAGATGTTCAATCAAGTCTCTCTTATGGGCCTACAACTGGGCTATTATTTATAAAAGACAACTGAAGAGGAATTATATGCTGCTAAACCATTTTCTGAACAGTGCATTCTAAATCTGCTCTTGACTTAGTGTCAACCACGTGAAACACCTCAGCATAGTAAATTCACAAAACTGACCTAACGCATGCACCGATTAAGTGGATTTTGTTGAGAATTTAATCATCAGTTTGGTAAACCAGAATGACTTTCTATGGAACTTTGTTTTATGACAGGTAGTAGTTTTCCAACTTGATGGAGTCTCTGTATCTTGAGGTGTATTTTTAAATGGAGGGCATTTTCAAACAGTGTCTATAGAAGACACTGTAGAAATACCTAAAAAAAAAAAACAAGTCATCATAAAATTTTGCTTTTTAAATTGCTGAAAGGGAAGAAATTATCTCAGCAAAAAATACTTTTTCTTTTAATTAATTCCAAACAAGACATTAATGTCCACTTTACCAAAGAAACACATTTGGTTGGTTTTAAGTTAATGTTTGGTGTCTGTTTACCAAAGATAATGTTCCATTCATCAAAACTATTTATCCTGGTCAACTAAAATACTGTGATATTTAGGCTTTCAGAAGGAAAATTTTTAAAAAGCCAAGGTAAGAGTAATGCTATTCTCTAATAAGAAAGATGATATTCTCTCATTCAGTGGAATTCAGCAGATATAAATTTACAAGGGAATTGGGGTTTACAAGAAAGAAAATGATAACTGAAATTGGATATTATTCAGACATACAGTAACGTTCTAACAAGTACGATGATGCACAAGCAAAAAAGTGGAGTTTGTTCCAGAGAAAATGTAGAACAAACCTTCATGAAAATTTCTGTCCATTGTTCCTGCTAATAACTCTGTGTGTGTGTGTGTGTGTGTGTGTGTGTGTGTGTTTCATTTTGGGTTGGGTTGGTTTTGGTAGTTTGATTACTGGGTTGGCTGTGTTTTATTTTTAATTGTGAAGGGGTTGTCTTCGTTTTGTTTTTGTTTAGTTTGTAGTTTTTGTTCATGTGGCTTCTGCTTCTCTTACCACTTTCACCTCTACATTTTCAGTTAGAAATGAGATAATTAGAGGCCTCCTACATGGCCACAGTTTTTCATGCAATGTACTGCTCTGAAAGACCTTCAAGAAACTGTTTATTTTAAATAACCACTGCCCAACTGTCTATGGCATTCTAAGACTATGACATTACCTTCCTCCAGCCCCAGCAACAGATCTTGGCTGTGTCCCTCATCAGAACAGGTAAAATGGAGAGTCGCCTTTGGGGTGTGGTATGGTATGAGGCAAAGCCTCTTGAACACAAATGGTATCCTCATCATAATGGCTTTATTCCTTTGGACACTATTAAAGTATCCTTGCAGCTTGTACCTGTGCTTGATCTCTGTGAATCTCTGTTTCTTCATCTGTATAATGGGGATAATAACAGTAAATATCTTTAAATTCAGCAAATTTTGAGTGCCTAATATTACACATACATTGTTCTAAACACTGGGAGCACACAAGCAAGCAAATCAGATAAAGCATCATCTTGCCTTGGAGACTTAAGCTTGAGTGATGTTGTAAGCTGTCTGTGAGGACTGTGATGGTGTTTGGGGCAAAAAGAGGGAACTCAAGACATTATTATCTTTAATTTGCCAAATTTACACTATAGAACTAGGACTCAGGATATAAACCTACAAATTATATCTCTGCCCAAGATTAAATCTATATAAAAATGCAATGGGTGACCACAGAAGGCTGTTACTTCTTAGTCTTATGAACTCACATTAAAACTAGGCTGGGTTACCATGTGATAGGACAACTGTAATGCACCTACAAACCTGGATTTTCAGGTTGGACAACAAGCTTTAAAATTGGATATAGATACTTGGTGGGGACCAGGAGAATATCACTTCTTACTATTTATTTCTGGTTGGTATGATGACATTTGAACATTCCTTTTGGAGTGATTTGCTTTTAAGTATGTACTAAATGAAAAGCACTGGCTATTAGAAAATAAAGTTCCTATTTCTTTTACAAGAATGTAGAGTGCAAAGGAAAATATTATATTGGTACTATACTAGAAAAAAAAAACTGATAATGCTAGAGCTAACACATGGCAGAGTCCCTCCCTGTGGTGGCTACAACTGTTTAATTTTGTTACCTGCCAGTCTAGGAGAAAAAAAGAGGGAAACGAATGAACAAGAATCAGTTCACCTGAACAAGCAGTGTCAATATGTTCTTGCCAGCCTGCCTTTCATCTGCATCCTCCCTTTGCTCATGTGATTTATTTGAAGTCCTCTTTGATATCTATGAGAATACCATGCAAGGAAAAGGAAATGAGATGGCAGAGAGCTGTGGCCTGCACATAGAGTTTTGAGTTAGAATAAAATTAGCACGACAAGGCTTCTGAGAAGCCTATTTAATAAAGAACAGAAGTTTCTTTTCAAAGTACAAAGAAAGCCTGTATACGTGAGAAATCCAAAACTTAGAGAAGCAAGATATTCAGAGTTGGAAGAGTTGGAAGCAGATACAAGACTATAATAGAAGTATAGTTTCTAGTCTCAGTTTATTCCACATTCTGCCACTTTACTGCCAAATACTGTGTATCTAAATTATGGGTTCTCAACACAGGGACCATGAATGAGCTGGGGAAGGGAAGAACTCTTCACCTCCCTAAAATTAAATTACATGCAAAAATATATGTATGTTCAGCACGTACATTTTACTATAGAGAGAATCATAGCTGTCATCAGATTCTTAAAGAGTTCTCCATGACCCACTGCACTGTCCTAAATGAATAAAGGCATCAGTGGGAGTGTGAACCTGGTGTCCACATTTTGGCTAATGGACAGTCAAGAAATTCCCAATCATCTTTTCTTTAAGTAGTCAATGACACTTCCAAATATTTGTATCTGGATACCAAGCTTAGTGCTTACTTTTGTTCATTTATTCATTCATTTTTTCACTCATTTTTTAAGCCTGTTAACATATTTTCAGTGATAATATATGTTGTACTGCCAGTTAAACATAGTCCCAAAAAGGACAAGGAGACAATTTCTCTGCACTATGCCCTTGTTGCCAGGAGGAACACCAAGATACTACAATATTTTCACTGTTGTAGCATTGTCTGTATCAGCTGTTCTCAAAATTCCCAATTAATATGGCGACCATTTAATAAAGTT